TTCATGGTGTTTAAACAGCGTGATTTATTGTGAAGTGGTTTACTTTAGCTGACTTTTTGTACGCTCGAAGCTATGTTTACCACTACAGAGGAAAACGAGGTCGCTTTGTCACTGTTTTGTGATTTCGGGATTTTCTCGCAAGACCAATTTTGCCTATAAATAGAGGTTAATTTATGGAGAAGAGAGGAAGGCAAATATTTTCGAAAATTGTACGTGCCAGCAAGTTAACAAGGCAAAGAACTTTGGAGATAAACAACGCTTACCTTGATCGCAGCCGCTGTTGACAGCATTTGCAAGAAGCGACGAAGAAAACTTTCTCATTCACGGTGAGTTGACAGAAACAAATAAAGCTCTAGATACTTTTCTTCTCAGAATTGGGTAGTAATTTAAATTTTCGGCGTTTTCTTTTAAACCGTTGATGCTAAAGCTCGATACAAAAGGATTAAAACTATCATTTGCCATGTTTGAAGATACTGTAAAGATCTAACTTTTGCGCATCCACTGTATACGGCTTCGTGTTCACGCATGAATTTTCACCCGTCAATCAAACTAATGGTTTTTTAATGGTTTCCTTTCTGATTCTGTTGAGATCACTTCGTGTGGATATACTAAAACAATTATTCACCTCAGGCTCAGTTAATATTGTTGAATAATCCCCTCGACTTCGTCTCGGGGATTATTCAACAATATTAACTTCGCCTTCGGCGAATAATTGTTAAATATAATGATTTCTATCGTCGTCCAATACCTCTTAGACTAACACACACCGAACAAAAATCATTTGATGAAGCGGAAATTTGTCATATTTGTAAGAAAGAATTACTGTCTGACAAAGTTAGAGATCATTGTCATTTTACTGGTCAGTACCGTGGAGCTGCTCATAACAGTTGCAATCTACAGTGTCGAAAACCAATGATTCTTCCAGTTATATTTCACAATCTTCAAGGGTATGATGCACATTTGTTTATAAAACAACTTGCTTGTTTACCAGGTGAGTTAAACTGTATTCCATCGACGGAAGAAAAGTATATTTCCTTTTCAAAAAAGATTAAAGTTGATGAGTATAAATCTTGGCGTACTGGAGAAATGATTCCATTATATTTTGAAATACGATTTATTGATTCATTCAAGTTTCTTCAAACAAGTCTTGCTAATCTTGTTGGTAATTTACAACCAGATGATTTTAATAATACAAAAGAAATATTTAAGGAAAATGTAGAGTTATTAACTCGTAAGGGAGTTTATCCATATGACTATGTTTCCTCAATGGAAAAACTATCTGAAACACAATTACCTCCAAAAGACTCCTTTTATTCAAAACTAAATGATGAAGACATAACTGATGATTATCAACACGCTATTAATGTTTGGAATACTTTTGAATGTAAAACAATTAGAGATTATCATGATCTATACCTAAAGTCTGATGTCCTCCTTTTGTCAGATGTATTTGAAAACTTTAGAAAAACTTGTCTTTGCCATTACAATCTGGATCCAACACATTACTACACATCTCCTGGGCTAGCTTGGGATGCATGTCTCAAAGAAACAGGTCAGGAATTACAGTTACTACATGATTATGATATGTTGATGATGTTTGAAAAAGGAATTCGTGGTGGAATATCTCACATATCAAAAAGATATGCAGAAGCGAATAATAAATACATGAAAGATTATAGACCTGATGTGGAGTCTACTTATATCCAATATCTTGATGCAAACAATCTTTACGGATGGGCAATGTCACAATCGCTTCCAACACATGGATTTAAATGGATTAAAAACCTAACAAAAGACAAACTAATGGATATACTGGATAAAAAAAATCATAGTATGCCAAATCGTGGAAGAAAAGGATATATATTTGAAGTTGATTTGAAATATCCTTCCAGCCTATGGGAAACACATAATGACTATCCACTTGCACCTGAGAAGATGAATGTTAATGGTGTTGAAAAACTAATTTGTCATTTTAAACCAAGAAAGAACTATGTTGTACATTATCGAAATCTAAGACAATATCTTGAGATGGGAATGAGAATAACTGCTGTTCATAAAGGAATATCATTTTTTCAGAGTTCTTGGATGGAGCCTTACATAAGAAAAAATACAGAACTTCGAAAAACAGCAGCCAACAGTTTTGAGAAGGACTTTTTCAAACTAATGAATAATTCTGTATTTGGAAAAACAATAGAAAACATAAGAAAAAGACAAAATGTATTTATTATTGATGATCGTAAAAAAAAAAAGCTGTAAAATTAACAAGTCGTCCTAACTTTGATAGAGCAACAATATTTGATAAAAATCTTATTGCAGTTCATATGAAAAAAACAGAAGTGTATTTTAACAAACCAGTATATGTTGGACAAGCAATACTTGATCTGTCAAAAACATTAATGTTTGATTTTCATTACAACTATATTCAAAAGAAATACCCTGCGACGAAGGAGCACAAAAACAAGGCTGAGTTATTGTTTACAGATACTGATAGCTTGATGTATCAGATTTATACAGATGATTTTTATAAAGATATATCCCATGATATAAAAACCAAGTTTGACACATCTGATTATCCTCCTGGTCATCCATCTGGTATACTGACGGGAGTTAACAAAAAAGTAATAGGAATGTTTAAAGATGAAGTAGCAGGAAAACAAATTACTTGTTTTGTTGGATTGCGACCCAAACTTTATAGTTTTAAAATAGAGGATAGTAAAGAAGTTCGTAAATGTAAAGGTATAAAGAAAAATGTTATAAAAAAGAAATTAGATTTTGAAGATTATGTTGATTGTTTATTTTTGGGTAAAAAGCAGATGAGATCGATGAAGATTATAAGAAGTGAAAGTCATGATATATATTCAAAAGAAGTAAATAAAATAGCTCTAAGCACTGAAGATGATAAGCGTGAAGTGATGTTTAATAAAATAAAAACTATCGCTTTAAGATAATAAGATATAATAATAAATGACTTACACAAAAGAAGAAATAGAAAAATATTTAGAAATATTAAAAAGTTACAATAACACCCAATCAGAAGGGGAGGTGAGTACAAAAGTTAGATGTAGTAAATGTCAAAGCGATAGTTTCTTAGTTGATTCAGGTTATAATATTTGCGATTCTTGTGGGTCAACTAATGGTCATGTTCTTGGTTATTTTGACTTGAAAGAATACGATCGATTACATTTTCGAAAAAAGAGTATTTATCAGAGAAAGTATCACTATGAAAAAAAGGTTAATCAAGTTTCTAAAAGACTAAACCTAACTGATGAACAAAAGTGTGAACTGTACAATAAACTCATGAATACAGATAACCACGTTATGGAAATACTAAACAAAAAATACTGTAGAAAGAGAATGATAAGTATTTTTTATCTAATTAAAAAAACTTTTGAAAGAAATGGGTTGTGAAAAGTACAAACTAGTTTATCTTAAGATTTCTGACCAAACTCTGGAGAATTATGAAAAGTGGTGGAGTAGTTATAAATCACTCAACAACGGCCTCAGCCACTCCTCTGTGAAAGAACCAGTAAATAATTCCTGTTAGATAACCGAGTACTTCACATTCTTTAAATGGTGTGTTGAAAGTATAAACACATCGTCTACCAATTCTATACTGTTTCCAGAAAGCTCGAAAAGCGAGACTGAATATTAAATGATTGGTAATGATATTTGAATCTGAAGTTAGGTAGTGTCTCGCTTCTGTTAGTCTGTAAATAATTTGGTCTATATCCAGTTTTTGTGTAAAATACTTTATATAGAGAAACTGGTAAACAAGACAAGCTTTGATAAAGTTATCTGGATAAAATTGGGTTTTATACGTAGGAAAGTAGAAATTCACATATGCTACAATTGATTTGATCATTTTCTATTTTATGTTTAGATAGAAAATGGTATAAAGATTTTATAATTAATATAGAAAATGAGTTTTGATATTTCAAAAGTTAATCTAAAAAAGGAAGGAGAATCATTGCTTTGTAAATTAAGAGATAGTTTTAATGAATTTAAAGATGTATTTAGATTAAATTTATCTGATTCATTTTTTGAATCAATTAAAAAAATGAAAGAGGATCTTACTATAGCAGGGTCGATTGCCATACATGAACAATTAAAAAGAGAAGACAAACCACTTGGGGTTACTATTTTCTGGTATCATGATTATGAAGAATACATTGAAAATAAATCAGAAGATATGAAGACTAAACTTCTAGAAACAGCTTCTTCTGGGTTTTTTAAACCTGATTTGAAAAGTATTGTTAGAATATTAGAATTAGTAGATATAGATATGGAATTTGATGGAGATTTGCGTTACGATGTAAAAATGTTTTTAAAAAAATATGAAATTTATCAAGATTTGAAACAGTAGTGTGGATGGGAATAAAATATAGTTACCATTTTCTATTTAATTTAAAATAGAAAATGAATTAATTAATTAATGTTTAAAGAATATAATTATAATATAAATGACAAGCATGTTGGAAAAAACTTTTAAAAATGAAGATTTAGGAATTGAGTTAAAATCTTATATTGACAAACAGCAAAATGTCTGGTTTTGTGGGAAAGATGTTGCTCGATTACTTAAATATAAAGAAACTAATCAAGCAATTAGAAAACATGTTGATGATGAAGACAAAAAAAGCTTACCCGTAAAAACAACGGGTTAGGTTAGATGGTATACTTTTGTAAATGAATCAGGTTTTTATTCTCTTGTTTTATCCTCAAAATTAGAAACTGCAAAAAAGTTTAAACATTGGATTACCTCACAAGTTCTTCCATCTATTCGCAAATATGGCTATTTTAAAATGTTTAATAACCCGAGTAACAAAATGTTTAAAATAGAAAATGAAAACGATCTTCATTACAAAGTTGTTCAACTAATTAGAAATTATTATCCAAATTCTATATTAGTAGCCGGACTTGGAGAAAATCAAGATACGATGAAAAGAGACTAGATTCTTATAATAAAGGATATCAACGTGGGACACCAGATTTAATGATTCTTGATTTTCATAAGGATTATAAAGGTTTATGTATTGAATTTAAATCACCAACTAATAATTACTGTGTGACAAAATCACAACTAAAAATGAAAGAAAAGTATCGTGAAAATGACTATGCTTTTATACTTAGTAATGATTATGATAAGATAAGCAAAAATATACATAAATATATGACTGGTGTTAGAATTCCATGTAAATATTGCACAAAAACATTTCGTAGTAAAAAAAACACTAATTAGTCATTTTAAAGTTATTCATAGAATAGAAAAAATATTTCAATCACGCGTTTCACGGGGTTGAACTTTTAAACCATTTTTCTTGATCTTGAAATATTTTCTAAAGTATTTTTGATATCTTTATAATTTCTTAAATCTTTTAAATACTTTTCACATTTATCAAACAAATTTTTATCAATAGCATCTTTTTTTAATACTGTACAAAGTATACAATAAGTATTAGCTTTTTCCCTAAGCAAGTCAATATCATCTTCAAGTATAGAATCAACTTCTTTACAAATTTCTCTTCCTTCTACAGCCAAAGTTGATTCGTAAGCACTAATTAATTTACTTTCAAATAATTCAAAATTACCCATTCTACTATATACTTAGATTAAATTTTGTATTATACCTACTAGCAAATTTGTCTACTATAGGAGTTTGATCAATGATCATTTCATCTATTAGTTTCATACGATCAACAAAATCTTGTTTATTCCACTCATCACCCCGAAGAGCTGCACGTAGTTCAACGAGTACTTTTTCATACGTAGTAAATGCAATTCTTGACATTTCAATTTTTCTCTTATAATTTTTTTTCTTTCCAATTCCCGCCACGACAACTCCAGCACCATTTACAACTCCTAGAGCAACGGGGTTTAGTGTTACACCACCAGTAATAGTTCCTATTGCTACTAGACATATTCCAGAAATTGTAAACACATCATCAAGAAATTTGTAACTCTTATAACACTTTTTAAAACACCAGTATTTCTTGTGATAATGTTTGTAAAAATCTTTGAGAGTTGTTACGTTTGATTCTGACAAAGATTTATCAATGTGATTGAATTCAAAGATATCCTTCATTTATTGTTTACAATATCTAAGATCCACTTAACTTTTCTTGAAGTATTACTTTGTGAAATTGCTCAGAGTCAGTGTCGTAAAAGTTTGGAGAGTACATTAATCTTATTAACACTCCATCTTCAGTTGTAAACTTCCAACGTTGATTAACATTGTATTGAACGGCTGGTATAGTTAATGTTGAGCTGTAGTTACGTATTGAAGCTTTTGTGACATTTGAATAAAAATTTTCTGCCAGCCATAAAACAATTATTTTTCCATTAAAACTACTTGGCATGGTAAAATTTTGAGTTGTTTTATTAACAGTTAAAGTTATTTTATTGTTTGTTTTATCATAATTTAATTTTAATAAAATATTATTGTTTGCTGATAAATATTTAGTTAGGGTAAAACTCCTATTTCTCCAATAACTAAAAACAATACATAAAGTATCTACCGGAGAATATGAAGGAGAAAAAGTAACATCATAACCATTAACATTTAATCCTCTATATTCTATTTCACTTAGGTCTTTATTAGATGGTAGTGTAATATTAGGCTTTAAAGAATTAATAATAACTCCAGATGAGCCTATATTTATTCCATAACTATTCGCATCAGCAAAGTCATAAAACTCACTAAAATATTTCCTATACAAAATATTTTTGGTGAAAGGTATTAACTCTTTTACCATTCCACTGTTGCAACACTATTATCATTGTTTCGCTCAAGTTTGATATTTCTTATTGCTTTTTGATTTGCGTTGATGTTGACATTGAACACTACTTCTATTGGTGTGATGTCAAATGCGGTGTGATGGTCGTAAACTTTATCTGGGTCGAGATTGCTAAAGGTACCCACAATTCCATAAGCTATCATATAAACCCCTAAAAACTGTCTCGGATACACAGCCAGATCAGTTCCATCCTGAGGAATATTAACCAAAATGTGAAGAAAGAACTTATTACCAAATGACAACTTCCGGAAATTAACTATTATTCTGTGATAATACATAAATTTTGGTTGATTTTTTGAATCAAGATACCTATGGGATAGTTTCCTTACACTAACATTTCCAATTGATAATCCTGTTGAAGTTCCTTTATCTACACTTATTTGTGACTTATGCCACAGCTGATAATCAGTGTTGAGTATTTCCATACATAGGGTGTAATCAGTATTTGTAGGTAGTAGTAGTAATAGACGGCACTGGGGCGCTCAAAGGATGCCGCCGCCGCTATTGTTTAAAGGCTATTGTTCTCAGTTGTCAATCAAATTAAAAATTCAAGATGGCGCTCGGAGAGGACTCGGAACTTAGTTAC